GGAGCTATTTTTCATAGCTTTTGAGGGGTGAACATCATACATTGAATTAAATTTAAGAAGCCGTGGTTCAGAATTCGGATGCTGGGATTTAGATTGGGACCCCGAACTCAAGTTTGCATGACACGTCGAACCCCAAGCTTCAGACCCACATACAGACCCCTGACAATGAGTTTCACTTCCCGTTTTCAGCATTTTTAGAAATAGAATGATGCATATGTGATCTGAGACTAAGTAATAAAAATCAAGAATGGCTAGAAACCTTAATAAGAAAACTCAGCTGCAAAGGAATATGAAGCGATGTAACTGAGAAACTAATGTGTAAAAGTAATTTCTTTTTAAAATTTGTTTGGACGGATTACACTCTATACAGGTGGAGATGGTAAGTCTAGTAGAAGCCAAAATCCAACACAATCATCCGAATCCAAGTCCCCCTGGATTGCAAGGAAGTGCAAACCTCCGGAATCCTTCTTTGCTGCTTCCCAAGCTTCAGCTTCACTCGTTGTTTCAGGAGTTTTGTTGTAGGTAGCATAAATATATCGCCCAGAAATTCCAACAGAAAGAATCAAGCGAGCCCGTGACAAATCGGCTTCAATTGAACAGACTTCCAACCCATTCATCCAAGCTGTAATAGTTCATAGAAAGATGTGATTATGATCTCTTACGGTTGTATAAGACACATCCGGAATAAGATAGCAGATTCAAGGAGAACGTATCACAATATCCCATGAAGGAACCAAGTTTATCACTACCACTCTAAGGGTAGAATATCACTGGCCTGATAAAAAATTGGGTCTTTGTCCATGCAGGATACTGTGATCTTCTCAAAGAACTTCACATGGTAAGTTGGTTGACGGTCAATCTGGACTACAAATTCAAATTACAGTCCACTCGACCAACGGTTTATATTTACAATCTAGCAACGTAACATGTTAGGCTATCTGTACGAAGAACATCTATCCAAAGATATTTGCAGTGTATAGATAGAGTAAATATGCATAAGAAGAAAGAAATAATTATCTGGATATAGAAAGACCATAAGATGATATTGGAGAGAATGTACACCTGCTAGAGGTTTAGCACGTGAAGATGCAACAGCCAATCCTGGAATCAATGTCTTGTCATCAATTTCAATCCCCAACAAATCCAAATCTAGGCTCGCACCAAACACGAGGTTTGAGTCCAAGGATGAGATTTCCTCTTGAACAGCTGAAAACAGGAGTTAGATTTAGTGTGGGAACAGGAAATGTTAAAAAGAAATATTGGATGGTTAGGGCAGGTGACAGGATGTGAGTTGTTATATCTGTCAAGACTCAGAAATCTTCATTAGCAAGTCCTTTACCTGAAAAGGGCAATTGGACAAAGGCCCATTTCTCCCCAACAAGATTTTCTGGAAGTTCCATTGGGAATGGGTTATCTACTGCAAGGAGTGGCTTAGATCCTTTCTGGAAACCAGGATGGCGTGTGTATACAGTCTCGTAGCGTTCTTCCAACCATAAAAGCAATGAGAGACACTGAAAGAAGCAAAGTTCCAAGACAATAAGTAGACAGAGCATTGCAGTTTTACCAGAAAACCAAAGCAAGCTCCATTACTATACTAATGTACACTAGTTCAAAAGACACGCAAGTTCTGCATCTGTGTTAACATAGGCTCCAAAAAAGGTGTGAACAATCATCGGTAGTAATCTGTGCTTCATATCATTAAGGATAAGAACGAAATACATGGATTGAGGAATCTCAACTACTTGGGTTTGGAGAAAAATCCATGTCAGTGAGACAAACATATACTAAATTTATCTAATGCTTACTACATTTAACCTCATCCTCCATTCTCATGCTCCATCATTATAGAGCCTACATTAGAGTTCACGAAAATATCTACTTAGACCGCTGAGCAAGAGTGTTAAGCACGGATAAGTCTTACCACTAATGTAGTCCAACATACATCAACACAATACAAAGGGCATTTCTTTCTGGTGATAGTTTTTAAACAAAAGAAAACAATCAACATCAATTTTTCCAAAAGAGAGAGAGCTGGCTAAATGCCAATAGACGAATATGTTACGTACCAATCACCAGATAAAATTCATGCAAATCTTCAGTATCTTTCTCTAGCGGAGAAGGAAATAACAAGTGTATTTGAACATTTCAAAACAAAACAAAAAAATAAAGAAGAACCTTCAACTCTGTACCGGCCATTTAAATTCTCTAGGCTATTATCAGCTGAACTTTCTTAAGTTACTTGATCAGTAAAAATGTCCTCCGACTTAGTTGTGTGATTGAAAAAAATGCTTTCGCTATCCATACAAGTTCCGAAAATTATACAATTGATAAGGAAAAAACAT